ATAGATAGATAGATAGATAGATAGATAGATAGATAGATAGATAGATAGATAGATAGATGTAGGCCATATGTGCAACACAACTGCATTGCTTTTATTTTGAAGGTAACAGCTTTTTTTTTCAATTTATGTGTGTGTGTATGTGTGTCTGCGTGCCTACACACCTTCACAATAATGTCTTGGTCCTGTTGGTTTGGTCCTCCGCAACACTACCAGTTTCTCATGTAGCCTCTTGGGAAAATTATTTATCTAACCTTGGTTTTCGTTGCAGATAGAAGGTTTGGTACTTTATTCAATAGAGCTTTGCAAACAGAAAATAATATCCTGAAAAGACAAGGTCCTTTTTCCCCCCTGACTTTGAACTGGCACTAAAGCCAGCAGAGGGGTGTGTGTGTGTGTGTGTGTGTGTGTGTGTGAAAAGCCAGGGAGTAATTAACAAGGAATAGTTAAATAGTTAAATGTTTTCTGTAGGAACAAAACAAAAAACAGATGTGGTTCTAACTTCTCTGTATGGTTTCTTTTTTGTGAAATTCAGAACAGAAAATAAAGACTGTTTTAACCCTGCCACAAATAACCAATTACTTATTTTACGTGTTTGACCTTTCCTGGTGTTTTAAAATGTCATTTTTTTCAATAGCTTTGGGTGCCAAGAATGTCCTGGCTTGTGTGTGAGTTGTATGTGTGTGTATGTGTCTGCATGCATTTTTTTTTAAAGTGGTTCTCATCAAACGTCTAAGCACACAAGGATTGTTGAAAGCAAGAGCATCAAATAAGAGCTCTTTGTATCCAAATAGTGTTGCTTTCTCATTTCCTGAAGGCACCAATTCATTCTTCTTCCTGGGGACTTGCAGATGGGTAGTGAACTTCGACGCCCATAATCCTCAGCCTGAAGTCCAATACATCGGAAGAGGAAGGCCAGTCTTGCAAAGAAATGTTACCTCTATTTGTCTATTGGCCTTAATGATCTTTCTAAATAGACTATAGGGAGAGGCCTGCAACTAAATCCGAGTGCAATAATGTAAATTTAAATTAACAGCAAGCCCCCCCAAGCCCCCCCTCCCCCAGCCCAAGGAAGTATTGTAACACACCTATCATGGCAATGAAACATGAACTTCTAGTTTAACCCCTCACATCCTGGACATACCTTGTTTCAACTCCTACCCTCAAAACGACGGCATATGGCATTGCATACCAGAACAACTAGACACAAGGACAGTTTTTGCCCCCATGCCATCACTCTGATAAACAACTAATTCCCTCAACACTGTCAGACTATTTACTAAGACCATATTACTATTCTTCTTCTCATCCTTCCTTTACCTATCTCCTTATCTCCTTATGACTATAACTTTGTTGCTTATATCTTACAATTTATATTGTTTACTTAGTATCCTAGTACGATTTATGTTGATTTCTTATTTAGTATCCTATGGCTATCACTAAGTGTTGTATCTTATGATTTATGATGATTGTATTTTTATGATGACTATGATCATGATTTATCACTTATAGCTTTTATGTACACTGAGAGCTTATGCACTGAAGACAAATTCCTTGTGTGTCCAATCACACTTGGCCAATAAAGAATTCTATTCTATTCTATTTCTATTCTGATTCCGATTCCATATTCTATTGTATTCTATTCTTATTCCATATTCTATTCTATTCTATTCTATTCTGTTCTGTTCTGTTCTATTCTATTCTATTCTATTCTATTCTATTCGATTCCATATTCTATTCTATATTCTATTCCTATTCCATATCCTATCCTATCCTATTCTTCTATTCTACTCTACTCTACTCTACTCTACTCTACTCTACTCTACTCTACTCTACTCTACTAAAATGGGCAATGATTGTTTGATACAGTTATGTATATCATTTGTTTACAACTAAGAAGTGGGCAAGAGAGCCTTGAACTCAGCTCAGTTACTGAAATCCTGCAGAAGATTTGTTAGGATCAGGGCCCCAATTTTAGTTTTATTATTTGATTTTTCATGGGAGTCAGATAAATAAATTGCATGAGTGGAATTTTAAAATCTCTCTCTTTGACTATGTACCTTCATCTAATCGATCAATGGTTATCTTTCTGGACTGATAATAGATTTTATCAGTCTGTTATCCTTCTGTCTATCCTTTAATTATTGTAGAACAAAGATTCACAAGGTTGGAAGGGGCCTTCAAGGTTCTCTAGTCCAACCCCCCAATACCATTCTGGACAAATGACTAGCCAATCTTTTCTTAAAAACCTCCAGTGATGGAGCACCTACAACTCCAGAAATCAGGCTATCCCATTGATTAATTGTTTTCCCGGTCAGGAAGTTTTATTTATTTGTTTGTTTATTGAATTTATATGGCCGCCCACTCACTCTCAGTGGCTCCAGGCAGCTTACAAAAAAAAATGAAAACCCAATATGCAAGCAGTAAAAACAGTAACCCGCCTTCTCCAAACAAGACTCTTTATGTGCTCCATCTCACTCTAGATTCCCCAGGCCCATGGGGCAAAATCAGATTTTCAGAGCCTGCAAAAGAGGATCAAAAAAGGAGGACAATTTAATTTCTGTGAGGTTGATATTCCAAAGGAAGGGAGCCACCATAGAGAAAGCCCTACTGAGTTCTACCAGGTGGACCTTCTAAGTTTCTCCTTACTTCCAAGTTTGATCTCTCCTTAACTCCTATCCACCCCTTGTTTCTTTTCCTGCCCTCTGGTTTGATTGCACTATGTCCCTATGGTTGTAACTGTCACCATTTGAAATGTGGCTTTTGTTTGAATGAAGGATAACTTAGAAGTGTGTCAGCCTTGGAAGCCATATTTTACTTGGAAGCTTCGAGGCTGCCACAGTCAGTGCCTGGGAATTTAGGAGAGAGGATTTCTTAGTGAGTAGAAGATTAGATTCAACAACATTCCTTTTTAGAAGTCAAGGACAAGTTACCCTGCACCTGGGGATAAGCGTCTGGAGGAATGGCTCCAGTTGGGACGATGTTTGATTGAGTCATATATGAACTGGTGGATGCAGGGGATGAATCTTTGACTTTCTCTTGGGGAAGGGAAAACCTGGAACTCTCAGATTCGGGTTTTCCCAGATGTGCCAATATGACTTCTCGAATAAATTCTTACTTCTCATTCTTATTGGATGAACTTGTTTCCTGAGTGCAGAATGATAATTGGGAGTTTCGTTGGAACGCTGACAAAGTGCTCATCTTGGGGAGGAAAAAAAATAACCAGATTTATCTTTTTCTTTTCCAGGCTTTGAACAGCAGTCTGTATAAGAGTGCTTCTCCTTACGGCTCTCTCAATAACATCGTGGATGGCTTGAATTCCCTTACGGAACATTTCTCCGACATTTCCCTATCATCGGATGCCAGAAAGCCAAGCAAGAGACCTCCGCCAAACTATCTGTGTCACCTTTGCTTTAACAAGGGACACTACATCAAAGATTGCCCACAGGTAAGGGCCATGAAATCTGGGGAGACCTATTTCCTGCACTGTTACCCTGTTTCCCTGAAAATATAACCTACCCTGAAAGTAAGTCCTACCTTGATTTTTACACATACGCCCAATATCAACCCTACCCCCAAAATAAGCCCTAATTAAAATCCCACCCACTCCAGAGTGGACAGGTAAAAATTAAGTTAAGGTGGGAGTGGGGGGGTGGAGCTGCCCTTCTACTTACCTTTGGACAGTTGTAGCCAGGCCTTGCACACTCTGACACCTGCCTTACCAGCCCATTTCTTCTTCTGATCCAGAGCTCTGTTATCCACTGCAGAGACCTTCAGGAAAGCCTTGCCGGCTGCAGAAGAAGAAGTTCCCGAAGGCCTCTGATAGCCAAATGGCAGCCGGGAGTGACATGCACAAGTGGGGTTATTCAGTGGATGGCATCCCCCCAAAATAAGACCTGGTGCCTTTTTTGGTGGCAAAAAAATATATAAATCAGGGTCTTATTTTCAGGGAAACATGGGATCTACAAATAAGGTTGAGCATGTATAGTCAACTTACAACCACAATCGAGCCCATAATTTGCGTTGCTAAGCGAGCCAGCCGTTGAGTGTGTTTTGACCCCCATTTCATGACCTGTCTTGCCCACAGTTTTTAAGTGAATCACTGAGGTTGTTAAATGAGCCAAACTGTTGTTAAATGAGTCTGGCTTCTCCATTGATTTTGCTTGTCAGAAGATTACAAAATGAGGATCAGATGATCCCGGGATGTTGTAATGGTCATAAACGTGAACCAGTTGCCAAGCATCCAAATGTTGATCACGGGGATGCTGCAGTGGTCATAAGGTGTGAAAAATGGTCCTAAGTCACTTTCTGTTTCAGTGCTATTGTAACTCTGAATGATCGCTAAACGAATAGTTGTTTTCCTGTTATTCTTAATTTCTGAATGTCAAAGGAAGGGATCTAATGGAGCTTCTCAGTCACCCAAGTTACAGTTATCCCAAAGGTGCTTTTTTTCAAGAGGCAACTGGGACTTTCTGGTTTTTCTTTGAAGATGTTTAGCTTTTCATCCAAGAGACTTCAAAGCTGAAGAAGTCAGTTAGCAAGCACAGAGTTGGGAAAAGTCGCTTCAGGGATATTGAACTCCTTTTTGTAGTTGTATTCAGTGAATAACTTTCTTAGAACATTAGAATAATAAGAGTTCTCTCCTTGATTAGTTTCCATCCCTTGTTTCATGTCTTGACTTTTGGTGCTTTGGGAAACAATTTCCTCTTTGTAGGAGCCCCACAAATATTGGAAGACTGCTATCATGTCTCCCCTAGTCCTTCTTTTCATTAGACTACACATACCCAATTCCCTTAACTGTTCTTCGTAAGTTTTAGCCTCCAGTCCCCTAATCATCTTTGTTGCTCTTCTCCACACTCTTTCCGGAGTCTCAGCATCTTTTTTTGTATTGTGGTGACCAGAACTAGATGCAGTATTCCAAGTGTGGTCTTACTAAGGCTTTATAAACAGGTACTAGAACTTCATGTGATCTGGATTCTATCCCTCTATTAATGCAGCCTAAGATTGCATTGGCTGCACACTGTTGGCCCATTTTTAAGTGATTGTCTACTAGGAGTCCCAAAATCCCTCTCACAGTTACTGGCATCAAGCCAAGTTCCACCTAGTCTATACCTATATAGTTGGTTTTTCTTACCTAAGGATAGAACCTTGCTCTAATCGATGTTTCATTTTTCTTAGATGGGGCCCAGGTTTTGGCTTGGAATTAGGTTCTAAAGGTCATGATGATTGGGAGAATGCATAAGAATTAACTTAAACAATCTTACATATGTTAAGATTAGTTAGATTTCTTTTTAACCAGGTTTAAAAATACTCCTTCCTATGTATGTACAGGCAAGGGAAAAAATCTCAAACAATAGAAAATTGAAACTGTGCCCAGGAGAGATAAGTAAGTTGACCAGATACACAGTGCTAAGTAACCAGGAGAAGCAAGAATAGAAGAAGAAAACAAGCAGCTGGTATAAAATAATCTGAACTTTCTGGTTGTTAGATGAGATTGCACTAATTTGAGACTCAGTTGAATTAGGATTTGCCTAATCAACCTTTTTCTCCTGGTGAAAAGTCAGTTAGCAAGGACCGGATGCAAAGAGTGGTGGGCAAGGTGGACATTGAGTAATGGGTACCCCTGTGTATCTACTACAGGGTTTTTACAGGCAATACCACACTTAATTCCACTAAAAGTTGTGGATTTTCAGGAGATGTGAGAGGAGGTCTTTCTTCTCAGTGCTTTGATATGTATTGGATTGTTTCCTCTGGAATAAGAAACATGCATGGATGTGAACCAGTTCACACCTCCAAAAAGCCCTCACAAGTTCACCTTCCATTAATGGGACATTTAGACTGAACTTATTTCTTTGCTATGGGACCTAGTTAATATTTACTATGTGTGTGAGAGAGAAAGAGGGAAAGAGGGAGGATCACACAGCCTCAGATTTGATTTCCTCTCATCTTTTTTTCACCTCGAATTTGGATAAAGTCCTTGGAAAACAAAAAAATAGTATCACAACTGTTAAGTTCTTTACCGCACTGGCGTTTGTTAGTGCCTCCTTGCTGCTCTCTTTCTTCTCAACCTAGGTGGATTCAAGTTAGTATGTTGTTGACATGGATCAACCAACTGAAGAGCAAATTTTCTTGCCAGGACTTTTGTCTTGAGCTTCTGCCAAAGGCTGCTTCCTCACTTTCTGCCTTCTAGCTGTCTGACCCTGCTTTTATCATTTTGAGAGAGAGAGCAAGAGAGGGGGAAGGAAGGGAAGGAAAGGGAGGGAGAGTGAAGAAGAAGAAAGAAAGACAGAAAGGAAAAAGAAAGAGAGACAGAGAAAAGAGAGAAGGAGGGAGGAAAGGAAGGAAGGAGAACGAAAGAAAAGGAAAGAAAGAGGGAGAAAAAGAGAGGGAGGGAGGAAATGAAGGAGGGAAGGAAAGAAAGAAAAAGAAAGAGAGAGAGAAAGAGGGAGGAAGTGAAGGAAAGAAGGAAAGAGAGAGAGAAAGAAAGAGAAAGAGAGAGATGGAGGAAGTGAAGGAAGGAAAGAAAAAGAAATAGAGAAAGAAAAAAGAGAGAGGGAGGGAGGAAGTGAAGGAAGGAAGGAAAGAAAGAAAAGAAAGAAAGAGCAAGAAAAAGAGGGAGGGAGGGAGGAAGTGAAGGAAGGAAAGAAGGAAGGAAGGAAGGAAAAGGAAAGAAGGAAGGAAGGAAGGAAGGAAGGAAGGAAGGAAGGAAGGAAGGAAGGAAGGAAGGAAGGAAGAAGGAAGGAAGGAAGGAACCAAGCAAGCTTTGTTACTCAAATATCAACATGTGGTTTTGGGGGTAAAAAAATGTTGCCGTTTTTTCCCACTGGGTGTGCCAAACTGTTTGGAACTGTCTCCCTGGCAAAGAGGTGGTTTCTTTTAATATTCAGCCTTCTATCTGGAAGATGATAAGAGTTACAAGAAAATGTTCTCGTTGTCGGTGGACTTGGCTTTCAACACCATTTATTTAATGTTTGGAAAATCAATATTGGGGGGTAATAACACCTCACAGACTTTGTAGGAAAGATCATCTAATTTCAAGAAGACAGGAAGGCAACCTGATGCTTTCCAGATGATTTTGGACTACAGTTCCTATAGGCACAGGGGTGGGATTCTACCGTTTTGGACCGTTTTGGGTGAACCGGGTGATTATTTGGCCCTGCCAACCCGCCTCTGCCCTTTGCGTGTGCGCTTACTGAACCGGTTGTTACACTGGTTGAATCGCACAGCTACATTGGCCCCAACCTGGCAAAATCGGAGATCAGAGGCTATGGATCCTGCAAAGCAGCAGGATACCTACCAGGGATTGAGGGCATGTTTACACCATGGTTCAAAATGATTTAAGAATGGACCCACTTTCCAGAAAAACGGAGAAGAAGAAAAGGGTGTTCAAACAAAACAACAACAGCAGATTGTTTAGTAAATTTCAAACTGAATTGATCTTCAGGACCAAAGCAAATTTGGTTCATCAGTCTGGAATCCTTATTACGTATGTGATATTAACACAATTGAGAAAGTCCAGAAGTATTTCACAAGAAGAGTTCTCCACTCTTCTACTCGTTGTAGAATACCTTATGCCACCAGACTCGAAATTCTAAAACTAGAAAACCTCGAATTACGCCGTCTTCGGTCAGACTTAAGCATGGTATATAAAATCATACATTGCAATGTCCTACCTGTCAATGAATACTTCAGCTTTAACCATAACAACACAAGAGCACACAACAGATACAAACTCAAAGTAAACCGCACCAAACTTGATTGCAGGAAATACGACTTCAGCAATAGAGTGGTCAATGTCTGGAATACTCTACCCGACTCTGTAGTCTCTTCCCCAAACCCCAAAAACTTTAACCTTAGACTGTCTACTATTGACCTCACCCCTTTCCTAAGAGGTCTGTAGGGGGCGTGCATAAGCGCACCAACGTGCCTACCGTCCCTGTCCTATTGTTTCTCTTATTCTATTATTTTTCTTATATGTACCCATTTCATATATTCACAACTATGTATACACTTGTACTTATTATCTTGTAAACAATTGACAAATCAAATAAATAAATAAAAATAAAATAAAATTCAAACTCCACCATCTCTTTGTAACAGAGACATGTAAAACACATGGATTGAAAAGACCAGTTCAGTCCTGCATCAAGCAAAGTTTTCCTCACTTTTATTTTTTTTCATGGTTCCCTCTCATTTGGGTTTTCTATCACTTACCATTTTCCAAAGCAGAGCTCTCCAATTTTGCCAACTTTAAGCCTGGTGGACTTCAACTTCCAGAATCCCCCAGCCAGCTGTCTGGGGAATTCTGGGAGTTGTAGTCCACCAGGCTTAAAGTTGCCAAGACCCCTGCTCCAAAGGATATTTAACAAAGAACATGGTCCTTCTTAAGGAGGTGGGCCCTCTCAGATTTACTTGGCAGAACTGGGAGGGGGGAAGGGTCTGGGGCCC